GAAGATTTAGAATGATTATGATTCAAGTGGATTCTTCTTCTCAAAAATGCTGTATTCTCAACATCCTGTGTTTTTCTTTTTTGGATGAGTCCCACTCGGCTCCCTCAGAGTCACAGAGGATGTTATTAAAGATCCTGCACCAGAAGTCATAAAGGAGATTCTGTAAATAGGAGCTGGTGCTCTGTTAGCAGCAGTGGGAAGACTAAGGGACTTGTGAAACAGCAATTTATAAATAATGGAGCTGACCTAGATTTCAAAAGACAGAGGAAGAAAGTGTGTGAACTGCACAGCAAAACGACTTGCAGTGTAGATCTGCTGATGGGGAGGTGTTCCTGACATTGCACAGAGTGTTTTAGACTGCCAGGGGAGGCAGGCAGCCCAAGAGTGGTAAATAGATACACCAATAACAGAGGTTACAGGAAAAAACACTAACTTCTAAGTTAGCAGGCCAATTTTCAGGAATGCCAGTAATTCCCCTCAGAGCAGTGAGGACTGTAGTAAACCCATTATATAAGTCATGTCAGATGCAATCACTGCATAGAACAAGTGCACCCAATGACAGAGGGGGAGATGCAGCAGAAAAAGAGGCAAAGGGCGAGTGTAGAGAGGCACAGATAAAGGGAGAAAAAGACAGGGAGGGACAAAGAGCAAGAGGAGAAGAGTGAGTAGGCTAGTAGTATTAGACAAAGCTGAGGCTTGCATCATGACTCACATGGACAGTGAGTCAGAGGAGGACAAAGCAACATTTCGCTACTGTACGCCCAGTACACCAGTCATAGTTAAAAAAGCAAATGAGAAGAACAGACTTAAAGTGGACTCACAAAATTGCAATGCATTCCATATTTGCCATGTATGGTTCAAAGAGTGAGCAGTGCTGTTTTACTTGCGATATTTATGATAGTGAAGAAATCTACAAGTGACAAACTACAGCAAAACAGTAATGCTGGTCAAATGCGTTACAGCCTCTCTGAAAGAGTAAATTAGCGACTTAGCTGATGCTCTTTTTAAATCAGGTGGACTGATATGCAGTCACTGTCAATATTAGGTTGTCACAGATATTTCGGTACCAATATGTAACAAGTATCAGTAAATTGCAGAACATGAAAGCCTAATTATGTTTGAGCTATTCAAATCAGTGTTGTTATTGCAGTGATTTTACCAATGAAAAGTACTGAGAAATTAATTTTTACAGTGGTATAATGTCCCGCTCTGCAGGCCACCACTCCTAAACTCTAATTTTACAGATGTTCAAAATTCCTTGAATAAAAAATGAGAACAGAAAAACTATTGAAAGGTGAAAGTCTTAAAGTAAGGGTTAATTGACTTTGTTTTTCAGCGCTGTCACCTGAGTCACGATTGATCAGACCCAATCAGGAAGCTGATGTGGATTGCTGCTTTATTGTTTCCAATTTCCTGCTTATCCAGACTAAAACAGAACCCCAGAATTTTCTAACTAAAACAGGAGCAACAGAAGCATTACAAAAGTGTTGCAGGCTCAAAAACTCTAATAGTGTGCATGTCTGGTGTAAGCTTAAAAAAGGATGTGTTATAAAAAACAAATGTATGTAACCACGATAGAAGTGGCAGTTGTCCACATTCAGGGGAGCGTTGGCATAGGAACAATGTACAAACAGAGTAGTGGCAACGTAAGTCTGAAAATGTTGCTGATGACATTTCAAGTTTACAGCAAGGATGCCCACACAACTTACTCCTTACTTTTCATTTAGGCTTGAATGTCAACTTTGTTTGGACGTTAGAACCTTTTACTCCATATTGCATTTTTTATTTGCTCTTGTTTAGTTTCCCTTTTTATAATGATATTCAACTGTGAGATCTAAGGAACTCTTACTTCAGTCATAGTTTCAGTTGCTTAGTGCACCTGCTGCAGTGAACTCTTATGTCCAAGCCAGCGCGACTATTGTGTTCAGGATTTAAATAACAGGATGTTTTTATTCCCATGTTGTCTAGAACAAAAACATTTAAGACTACGTGAGTGAATCTCACATGCTGGTGCTCAGTAAACAGAACAAACAGACACATTACAACCCCCAAAATAAATAACTCGATGCATGCACAGCCAGAGACACCATGCAGTGGAATGTTTCTAAATGTGACCAGGGTTATCGAGGTCATATAAGCTATAAGCTGTGCCCGACCAAGGGATTAACTGTTGGCCTGTGACCTTTTTGCCCGATGTCACTGGTGTAGTTGCTGATAATTTGCTGCTGCACTGTTAACACGAACAGAGGGCGGTACAGGGCACAGGACCAGGTGACTTGAGAGTTTTGTACCAAAAACATCTTGCACAGTTATGCACACACCTAACTGTCCTTGACTTCACAGCAGAATAGAGTGGCAGTTTAATCAAAAATATTTCAGATATGTAATTACAAACGTGCAACTACAGCCACTAGGCAAAAATAAAAGGAGTTAAATGTTTACATTTCTCAAGATTATTCTGTGAATCTCTCTTATGTGACAGTAATAACCACAAACATGTTATGTAATAATATTATCATGAATTAATTCCCTGAGAGACATTTCTGGCATACTGACCTGTAACAGAGGTCAAGAAGAGTGGTGTGTTTGACAAGCTCATGCCATTCAATAACCCTGTGTCTCTCTTTTTCCTTTTTTTATGTGTGTTGATTTTTATTTGACTAATGGCTTTGGCAGCATTGTGGTTCTTCATCTATGACAGCCCTCAAACATCCTCTGGCATTGACCTTTTCCAATCACTGCAGGTCTGCAGGGATGTAATGCAGCCTGCCTAGTCCAGATTACCCCATTTACATAACCCTCATTTCAGACCTTTAAAAATAACACAAAACAAACCACAAGCTGGATCACAGATGTAGTTATTTATGGAGGATGTAATTGTAGAATCATGGTCGCATACAGAACATACATAAAACAGGAACATACGAACTGAAACAGCAACTGGGCCTTCTCCTACCATTTATGTGTTTTGCTGTTAACTAAAGTGCTGCATGTAATGATAACAATTTCCAGTCTTACTTTGCACATGAATGGATCACTGAGAATCGCCTTAAAGCATGAAGGCATTTTATGTATTGCGCTTTCTTAGCCAGCACATTTGAATGTGTATATGAACCAGAACACTGTGTGTGGGAGACAGCAGGTGGCTAAATTCAAAATCATTTTCATGTGTGGAGAACAGAAATAAAGTTGGAAAGACAAAGTCTTGAATGGGATTTGATTGCAGACGATCATGCAGGTGACCTCTCCTTTCCATAGCTAACTACAGACCATACTTTGTTGTTGATGACCAGTCTGGTCTGAAGAAACCCAGTGTTTGGGGAGCTTCTAATACATCAATAAACAACATAATGGACTAGTTTAATCTCAAAGCAGGCAACCTTTAACCACATGAGGCCCTCTGAAGCACAGAAATCTTCCAAGATATGAATTAAAGGACATTGATTTGAAATGAAATTAATAACATGGTTTATTTATACATTTAGATCCTAAACATTTAGCCGATTGGATCAACAGGTAAGCAATCTCGGAGCCCATCGGCTACTGTCTTATGACCAATAAGCCTCTCATTATTAGTAGTATTTTGGACCTTCTGGTGTAGACAGCGGATATTTAGGATAAAACCGTCTTCCATTCATCGCACACTGTTTTCAGTCCGATGACTCCACATGGTGTTTTAGGTCCAGACAACATTTTGGCTATTCTCTATGAACAGCTATCTGCATATGAATGCAGGTAAATTAAATAACTGATGTGTTTCACCCTTTTTGCTCTCCACATGGACTGTTTACCTGTGGGCAATCAAAGTCTGTTCTGATGTGAGCGATCAAACTAGAAATGAAAACCAGAAGGCTGCAGATGCCATATTATTGTGCCTCGCCTACAGATACTGCATAATCACATACTTGGCTAGGGTTAAAGTGTTTGGCGACTGATTTTGTAATTTTTACAGTCTACAGAATCTGACTGAAAAGAGAACTTTACTTTCTGATCTAATGAAGTAAACTAAAACATCAGATCTATGTGGACTACTAAGGAGAAAGTATTGTTCCTCAAGTTATAAATTAAATAAACTTGACATTACGTCACGTTCTCCACAGTTATTTTTGTTTGAGGTTTGACTGGGCTCCTCTGCAGTTGTTTTCTGGCACCTGCCTGGAAAATTCCTGCTGAATGACAGAGAGAACACCAACTTAGGAGTACTGTACTTGAAAGATCAGTGGTTGAGTGAATCACGTCTCTCTTCTCTTTCATTAGTACAGCTGCTCATTTGATTAGCCACACCGTGTACTGTTTGACTGACACCAATTTCATTTTCCTACCAGAAGGCATGGCTAATAAGCACCTGCTGAATATGATCAACACACATTTGACGCCACCCTTCATATTTTGCCTCTACACCCTGAGAATATTTCACATTTCAAAAAAAAGTTTCCAAAGCAGACCTATCTGCCAGTGTTCTGGTGCATAATCTTAGCGACAGGAGGCTGTGACCTCATATTCATTAGTGTGGTCTAGTGACACTGAGACACGAGCTTTCATTACCCAGAGGACTTAATTACTGGTGTGTGTTACCTTCCCAAATGGATACACAGACTATGTTTGGATGATTTCATACAGAGTCATTTTCAGTCCTTGCATTTAGAGGAAGACAGGTGAGAGAAGAAATGGAAGTGTGTCAATCCAAACATTATATAGACTTGTCCTACCATGTTACCATTTCTTTCAGAAATATACATCTGTCCTATCCCTTTGATTTAATTAGACTAAATGTATTGTGTTTGACTTTTTTTAAATAATAAAATTGAAAAATACTGTGGACGATAATATAATATCATATTTTAACATCAAAACATGTAACATTTTCTCTCTTGCTCATCTGTAGGAGCGTGGAAGTGCCATGGGGAAACTGGAACCTATCTCCCCTGTGAGCCCAGTCCACATGGACCCTGACTTGGATCTTGTGCCGGCTCGCTTCTCTAAGGAGGAGCTCATCCAGAATATGGATCGCGTGGACAGGGAGATCACTATGGTGGAGCAGCAGATCAGCAAGCTGCGCAAGAAACAGGTCAGTACACCTCTGAATCAGATCATAGCTTTGAGATTATAATGGCTTATTTTGTGTTTAGAGATAGCAGACTGAAATTTGCCTACTCAGTTTAGCACTTTGATGTTTGTTGAGGAATCTCATCCAGTTCTGCCATGAACACCTTTTGAGTAATCATGGTGGGTATTCAGTATGGATTTTGAGGCTGTCCTAGTGATAGATGTCCAACATAAAAGAAATGTGGCGATATCTTTTGGTCTTGTGTTGCACTGTGAGAGGTTGAAAGACTTGTGACTAAAGATAGCTTGTGAAAACATTCTTGGGTCGTCAGTAATTTAGGGTAGCCATCTCACAATATGACTGTTGCTATGACCTACGTCTATTAACCAACCCATAGGAATGCGTGAGATGCTGCATTAATTAACAAGTCACTGGAGCCTACCTTGTATACAGAATTGAGCCTACAAAGAGTCAGGTGTTCACATCATATAGTCTACATGCATCAACCTGATGTTATACCTGTTTATTATTACCATGTTGCAAATTGAGGTTTGAATAAAGTTATGATTGCTAATATGTCCCAAATTGTAGCCCCTTTGTTATATTGTTACAGCACAACTGCAACACTTGATGGATGTTTTAGAGGGGACATTTGGACCACAGATATTTTTTGAAACTACATTATGTAATAAAAATTTGCCTAAAACCTGAAAAATAATGAGCCATGAAATCCAAGACTATCTTTTCATTCTTCCTTCACCTTATCAGAAGAATGTGACAAAAATTAGTTTTGCAGTGGATGTAGAATGTAAAACAACTTCTTGGAAGGCACTTGGCATGCAGTTGAGTGTGACCCACCCTTTTTGAAGTGTTTGTAGGGGAGCTTCAGGCACTTAGTTATTTTTAAGTTAGAAGTTATTTTTGCACAACCCATAGGACAAGATGATAGGTGACAGTGTGATGTAATCCATGTGCATTCTGCACATATTTTTAGCAGGGAGGCAGACATGACTAAAACCACTACCAGTTAACCAAGTAGTTATTCTTCATGCCTATGGACGTACTGGTCAGTGCTGGCATCCTTATAATTTTTTTTTATAGTCGCAGCTTTTCACTTCTTTGAAATGTTCATGTGCAGTGTTCCAGTGTCCCTTGCCAAGCTACAGTTGGCATTGGTGCAGTAAAGTCTTGAAACCAAATTTGCCATTTAAATCACTGCATTCAAGCTTGAAGCTGTTTGTTGCTCACTGTACCACCATTCTGTACACACACTCCTCCAGGCAGCTTCATTCCCTCTTTTTTCTCCTCTTCTCTGCAGCTTTTTATTTAGGAGAAAAGTAGGTTAAAAATATATAAGGCTATAAATAACAGCTTCCCCAGGGGAGGAGGAGGATTATGATGGAGTTTTTTTTTCACTGCTAAACCACTCATATCCCTGCCACACTGTCTCCTTGTTGGCAGCCTGCCATGTTTACTGGAGAAACTGTTTGGTTGAGCTCACTCACGCAGGCCCCTCCTGTACCATGGATGCCATTACACCATTCATTACACTTAATTATAACGTGTAGCATTAGGGTAATGTATTGATAACAGATGCATGTATTGTTTTTTTATTTATTTATGGTCTCATCAAAGTCTTTTATCTAATTGATGGGACTATTTTACTGCACTATTAAAACCGCAGCAGCTTAGGGTAACACTGGTTTCACAGACTGACAGGGCTACCTCACAGCCCAGAATCTTGCTGATTATAATAAGCTTTAACATTGTTGTAGGAGATATGTGCTTAAAATTATGATTAAGCATAAGCTCAATTAGTTTGACTCGAGTTAGAATAACTTGCTTTCCCAAGATAACCTGAAGAAGCTACAGCTAATAAAGTAGCAGAGAGCAACATTACACCTGCTGCAATAGATGGGTGTTGAATAAAAGTAAGAAGCCTGCTACCTGAATGTCTTTTACATTGCTTTTTATTAATAGAAAAAAAATATTTTGTTATTATTCTGGGTGTTCCTTTTGCCAAATTGCAAAAGGAACCAAAAAAAGATCAGATGCCATCCTTGGGGTTGCAACCGCTGAATGCTTGAGATGATGCTCAGCTACTTCCACCAATGAATCAAGTGTTTTTTATAGATATTATTTCACAGTCCCACTCAGTTCAAGCATTAAAACATCTGTAGTAATTAAGTTGAGTGGTAAAACTTATTTAAAGAGTTGTGGCAGAGTTGGTGAATGGACGGGGGGTTAGGGCTTAGGTTACCGCCAGCCTGTATCATGTCAGCCAAGCTCAGGATGGCTGGTTTATTTTATTTTACTCTGTGGTGGGTTTGGAAAGGGAAGGGGGGTCTCTATGGGAATGTCTGTGTTTCCCTCACCAGATGCTTATCCAGGCCTATCACGGCACATAATGATCCATCTTGCTGTGCTCTCATGTGGAGCCTCTGGAGGCTTTCTTTTCCCCCTCTGAAGCCCCTGACTGGAGATGAGGAGGAGAGGGCAGGAGAGAGTAGTGGGCTGACTTAACTGTAGATCAGCAAAACACACACCAATGACACTAGGCCTCTCGACAACTAGTTAGACATGGATACTTCTGTGTCCAGCGTACAGCCTGCATAACACAAAGACTGTATTTTCGGACAAATCATAGTGTTAGAGATTACTGTAAATTTGCACTGTCAGCTTGAGTTATTAAGTTAATTTTTTATATAGTTTTGTACCATTTGTCAAACTTTATAAAATGGATAGTGATTAAAATGCATTTGCTTAAAGTGGTTACACTATATGTACATTTTCCCTATTGCTACATGGCTGACATTAGAACTAACTGTTGTTAATTTAACAATTTAGCTAAAATATTTTGTGTTCACCATCAAACTTCATTCCTTTGCAATATAAGAGATGTCTCTAGCAATGGAAAGCAACCCTTTATTGCCTCTTTTCACTTATTTAATCAGCTAACCTCAGTGCGACTGGCCTGTCATGTCACATTCTCTTTCTGGTTAATTGTAGCAACTACTCTGCCGTTAAGAAGTAGCACTGCTCACACAGCATATTATAACTTATTGTCCTGTAAAGAAAAAATAAGATAGAGTCTGATTTGGGAGCTCTTTTTAAATTACATGCTTGTCGAGCCTTTTCTCAAAATGATTGCCTTTTAATTTTGCTATTCATTAAATAATGACTAAAATAATGTGTTGTTAACCAAAATGATAAATTGTTTTAAATATCAAGGGCCCTTTTGTTCATTCATATTCAGATGTAATTCAGAAATGTTTCAAATCATATCAGTGTCCTTGTCAACGGTTAACTGAATAGTTAGCCTTCGTCAGTGTCTTTTATGTGTGTGGCTGCACTTTTTAATCTGGAGATATTTGTATTCTTTCTGTATTAAATTTTTAGCATCTGTCGTGTATTAGAAGCCTCATCAACACATCCACTCGCTCACGGTGAATCCTGCAGAGAATCTAATGACTTCTTTACAACTGTATGTGTTGAAGGTGCTACTCTCTGAGTCATGTTATAAAATTCTATGTATAAATAATTTATCTGTTAAAATACTTCTTGTCTCATTTTCATGGCCAGTATCACAGGTGGAAAGAAGTTGCTACTTCCACATGCTGCTTATTGACATAGTTAGGTGTGGGAGGATTAATGATGCTGGCGAGTCCATTTATGGCTTCTCATTATGTGGATAGACAGTGTGGTCAGACAGCCGTAACTCTCCTCTGCTTCTTGCTTGTATTTACACTTGGCTTCTTCTAAAACGTCTTCGATCTGACAAAGATGTAAAAGGTGTGTAAATGTAAGTGTGCCATTGGAGCCAAACTGCCATTCTTTCCATTAGGGCTTGGCGATATGACTTCAAATCAATATCGTGATTATTTCAAACATTTATCTCAATTAGGATCAGTGAACGATTATTTATCATTGACCTGAAACATGAGGCGCATTACTCTGCGCTGGTCAACAAGTGATTCTTCTCCTCTGCTCTTCATTAGTCACTCACATGTAGAACTGATGTTTATATAAACCTACTGAATTCATATGTATTTCATAATTTCCTGCAACTTCAGTGTTAAACCATAAAAAACTTCAAATTCAAGATTCTTTTATATATAACGACGAGTTTATTTATTGCTAGGTAACAAATAAAGGCTACATTTACACAGTCTATACTGCAATTCTACGTTGACTTATCTCCCCCCACATAGAAATTAATTTTGATCTCTGCTTTGCTGTTGTCTCTGCAAAGGAGCCCTTGTTGACGGTCATTGGGGCCGAAGCGCTATTGTTGGTCTTCGATCTGCTCAGTTCCTTGGTTGTCAATGTTGATTTTGCATGAAGTCCGCTTGCCTCGGACTTAGCAATACCCAGCGCCGGCGTTGTGGTGCCCCCCTAGCCAATCGCGTTGGCCTGCAGCTTCTGACGTTTTTCGGGTTATTCAACGACAGTGCTTGCAGATGAAGAAGCCACAAAAAACATTGCAATACTCCTCTGATTAGCAGACTTTGTGTACCGCTTGCGCTTGGTCATGGTTTGGATGTGAACAGACAGCTAAAATTGTTTTGAAGAATGTCCGCATGACGTCCAATATTCCACCAATAACAACGCTCTTTGTTACAGCGTTAGAGGAAAATCGATCAATCCAATACGAGTCTCGCATTGTGGTAGTATGACAAAATGTAGAGAATCCACGAGCAACACCCTACTTTTGAAAATCAGTATGATGCCGTAAGATCACGGAATAATAATTCCATTCCATTGTTTGGGGGGAGCCCTGGTACTGTTCAGCTTCTTCACGACAGTTAGATCAGCTTGAAAGGATGACTGAAGGACAGATAAGCACTGAATTAACTGTTAATGATTGGCAGTTAAACATAATAGCTGATAGGTCTCAATCCTGCCACTTTGTCTTTTATCTCCTTATAACTTTCTTTGGCATCCCCCTAAAATCTTACCTCATTACTCATTAGCAGTAGAGGATGCTTGAAGAAACTAAATTAGGACAAAAATAACACCAAACACATTTTGTGAGTTGAACAAACTGTCACTGGCCTTGAGTAGTCTGGTACGACCACAGGCTGTATTCAGATTTGGCTGTGAACATTCAATAACTTCTCTCTTACCCGCCTCTCTCACTTATCCCCCTTTGTTCCTCTCCTCTTCTTCCCTTCTCACCATGTGCAATTTGCCTGGCTGCAGAGTTTTTGATACAAAAATTATAATATAGTTGGTTGTTCATCCCTCTTGTTACAGCTTTTCTATTCCAGACAGCATCATACTCACTTTTGGCTAGACTGCATCCCATATTATTGCTACATCCTCTTGCTCTCTTCAGTAATTAAAAGAAACTCTGATAACAGTGGTACTTCCATCATGAGTTTCCCAGGCAACCCCACAGAGGTTGACTTACATTTCAGGACAAAGCCACACAGAGGCTCCCCAAACACAAATGCATATTGATTCCTGAATGAATTATTTGAGGTTATTTAAAACAGTTCTTTTGGCCTGGCCACCCAACAGGTCTTTACAATTGTTGGGGAAACACTGCGGCATTCTTAAGTCTAAACGTCATGTTTGATTAGAAGCCAGGATGACTCGTAAGTTAGAGGAACTCTGCTGTTTTCCAGTAATTGTCTGGTGTTTATGTTCCCGCATTTCCCTCTCTAAATGTGTCTCCCTCTCTGTCTCTCTCTCTCTTAATTTTCTCCCTCTCATTGGATGTTCCAGCCACACAGCAGGCATTGGCTTTGTTTACAGACTGCTGTGGTAACTCTTTGATTAACTAGGCACTGGGGAGTTAATAGCTATTACAGCTAATAGGACATTTAGTCTTGTCTCTGCTGGAGAGATGGGGGAGGGAAGATTGCTTTAACTCTTAAATCTCATAACAGGAACTGGTGAGCCACAGGTCTTCCTGGTAGATCTGAGCCCTTTAAGTATTCACCGTCATACATGTTTCTCTGTGTGTATGTGTATTACAGCAACAGCTGGAGGAGGAGGCTGCAAAGCCTCATGAGCCAGAGCGGCCCATCTCACCGCCACCCAGTGAGGCCAAGCACCGCAGCCTGGTGCAGATCATCTACGATGAGAACAGGGTCAGTATACCACATACACATGTACCCCAATGACCCACCTCTTAAGTCATAACAACCTTGCATTTGAGTATGGTTTCACTTTTGCAGTGTATTCATTGCCACGAGTGAATGGAAGAGTGATAGGGCGGGATACTTCCCCCTGTGGTTCAGTGCTGTTTCACTAAACTGAAGAAAGATAATATAAATTAAACAAAGACTCTTGTCTAGAATATTGTTGTCTGTGCGGCATGCTTATTCAGTTCTCAGAAAATGGCCACCAGCGAGTGTTGGAAATGACCTTGCACCTGCAAAGTAAACTAGATTACCCAACAGGTGCAGCTTTTGAACAAACCACAAAGTCCTGAATTATCTGAGTAGAGCCCCATGTTGTCTTCGTCTTTCATAATGTTTCATAAACAACATCGTCAAAGTATGGACGTATGTAATATAGCAGCATTCTTTCTTGAAGAGAAAAGCAGGGCAGCTGAGCGGTCATATGATATATAGGAAATTTGAAGGAGGATTTAGGTCACAGCTATCATTACATGCAGCAGCTCTCTGCAGAGGATCACCCTTTCAATGAGGGGATTCTCAGTGCTCTCAGTCCCCCTAGTGGTGAAATGCCATCTCCTCTTTTATTGGAATTGGCATTTAAAGTAGGGAACTCCTCTCACATTGCATCACAGCCCAGATTAAACCTCTTTCAACAAACCCCCTATGGGGAACCAGCAGTAAAGTTAAAACTTACAGTTCAGACGAAAGGCACTCTTTTCTGATACATTCAAGGGAAATGGTTTTTCATAGAAAGGCAAAGCAGTGTAGAGAAAATACACCACAAATAGAGAACCTAGTTTAAGACCCATGCAAGCCTGCTTAAGTGTCGGTGAACAAGAGATTAATCCTTCACAGTTCTAGGAATGGTGTTGTGACACACTGCTCTAACCTGCATAGATAGCCTCAGATAACCAGTGAAAAACCCTAGATGACCTTTTAAAGGGAACACCACAGCATAGGGTGTGTACTTCAGGACTTTCTCCCAAACTGTCATCAATCACAGTTAAACCAGAGCATTTCTGTACAACAGCAGGACTCAGCAGATTGCACAAGACTCAACTGTGAAAGGCTTGAATTTTAAGAATGACTCATGACTTACTACACAATGTAGCCTGACCTCTGTTACACTTTCCACCTCCCTCTGACTGGCAGTCTCCCCATTTAAAGGTTCAGTGTGTAGGATTTAGGGACATCTAGTGGTGAAGTTGAATGTTGCAGCTGAAAACCTCTCACCTTACCCTCCCCTTTCAAGCATGAAGGACAACCTAAATGGTAGTCTTCAGTTGTCATAAAAAACTCAAAAGGTGTTTAGTTTGTCCAGTCTGGGCTACTGTAAAAATCAGCCTCCATAAAAACAAAGTTTGTACTCATTTGCATTCTTAAATCACATAAGCTTGCTTTGTTCATGACATCTGAAAATATCAAAAAGACCATTTAGATACAGTATATTACAAGTGCAAGGGTGAACTTTATTTTTTCTTTTTCATTTTATTTTGACAAAAACACATTTAGACTTTGCAAACAGCAATAAAGTATGTTCTGGCTACATGATAGGCACCTGACTATGATGACTCCAGCTTCAGTTTGCCTTTTTGAGCTGATGTCAAAGTGGTGTCACCTGTCCCCTCTGACCTCAGTGTCACCTGCTCTCTCAGATGGGGTTACGGCCACATTTCTACTGACAGCCCATGGTCAAACCCTGGGGATGGCTTAACCAAGTTCACTCTTTTCATATTTGGGACACAGCAGTCATGGACATGAACACAAGAAAAGACAGGCCTGACTGAGACTGCATTATCATAATTCTGTTGAACTATGCAAAATCCTCATGTCTAATCCTAATATGACCTTGTAGCACTCTCCCTCCGTCTCCCTCCCTCTCTTGTTGTTTGCTTCAGTCTGTTTTCCTGTTTTTCTCTCCTGTGTTCTCATCATGGGAGGTACAAAAGGTTTTTAGTGCTGTGATTTAAGCCACATAAGTATCCACAGTGTGAATAGTTATTCTTATAGATTTATTCCAGGTTTTTGAATGTCTTTGTTTATTTTAAGGGATCATGTGATCTAATGGGGGAAATGCCTTGTTGACAGCAGTCTGCATGTACAGCAGTACAGCTGCTAAGCTTATAATGCCACTGCCACAGTAGCAGTCCTTTGTGCGACCACAGGGAGGGGGCATGATTGAAGTAATGGAGCGGGCCTCTCTACTCGGTCTTGTGATCTGTATGTGATGTGTGTGTTAGCCAAGAGAGAGCAGTTCTCTTTGTGTAATTAACCACAATTTTAGAGAACAGGTTATATTGAATCTCATCCATCCATTCCTCCCACTTGCTATATTTGTCATTTCTAGGATCTAATGTTAAGCCATTTCCCAAAAGTTTTGAGGTCAGTTTCTTGCAGTTTTTTCTCTCAAATAAACATGGCCAGGAAATAAAGACAAATCCTTGAGCCTCTGTACTACCAGAGGATAATGTGCTGCTTTTAATAACTGCTGCTCATTTACTGCAATCGAAGGCAACACTCTGCAGCCTGTTACACCCACTCACGGTGAGGAAGCAACAGGGATGAGTTTATTGTATTAACATAATTGCATTGTGTTACTGTATTTGCATTTTAATCGTACATAGAGCAGTGGTATGCTGTGACTTTTACACATAAGTAAGCAGAGCTGAAACTGAACATCCTGTTGTCATAGCTATATTTGACAGCAGTTGTTTATGGGGGATCAGCCATGGCACATGACAGCAGAGTGTGGGAAGTTGTCATATTGACAAACAGCCAACATATATTTCACTGCTAGTCAGAGCTATACTCTTTGCTTCTACCTTTCAACACATTCACTTTATCTCTTTCTCACCCATTCGCTGCCGAACAACTTTCACACTGACTATCTACTACATATGTACCAAGAATGGCAATTAGTAGAGCACATACCACCACCAAGTCCCAGCAGTCCCCTTAAATTAAATCAAGCTGTACCAAATTGCACACACTCATAGGTGAGATTTGTCCCAAGTTTTGTCTTCCTAGTTCCCCACAAGAAAACGGAAAATGTAAATTTAATTGGCAATTTTAGAAAGTGGGGGGCAAAATCCTGGATTCCAAAATTCTTAAAGCTACTGTAGATCTAAATCACTATATAATTACCGTTTACTTGCTCCTGCTCCACTTTCGAAGAAAAGAATGTCTAACAAATTTTCTTATGCACGTCACATCTGCAAATGTGTATAGGAAAGTGTGCAATATTGCAACTGATCTCAGTACATTGGAAGCACATCCAGGTTTATGGACAGAATGCACAGAAGTCTAAATTATGCCTGACATGGCTGAAAGTGAACCTAGCTTCCAGAGACAGAAGCCTGCTGCTACAACAAGTGCAGTAAAAGAGGAATGCAAACAGGCACTATCCAAGATCCTTTATGCTGTTTTGAGATCAGATGTAAGAAGAGATATCACTTCCACTTCTGTATCATCTAATTGATGTTTATTTTTAGCTTTAACAGGTCAAGTATTGTTTGCCCTCATGGCACACCACTGATAGAGAGTATGTGCAAGTGTAAATCATCAGCTCTTCATTTGCCTTAAGACTTAGAGGAAATGCACAGGGCTATTTTACTTCTGTCATTGGCTTCCCTCACAGGTGACTAAGTTCAAAGCCTTGGTCGAGTTGTTTGCGTGAGCTCCTCTGGGGTTTTTCATCCATGACTGTTAGCGTGAGTACGGAGTAAACTTAGGAGTAGATCCCAAACACCTCCTGCAATGCCTCTACAGTGAAGGCAGAGTGAAAGGGACAAGCGAAGCAGCATGGTGGGTGGTGAAAAGTAAAGGTTGACACGCACATACACACTGGCAGGCTCTCTGTTATCAGCTCTGAAGTTTCTCCCACATCTTCCCCTTCCATCCACCCCACTCTCTCCCTGTGCTTCCATTCTCTCTGCATATATGTCAGTCCTGACAGTCTCAATGCATGGTCACTGAAGAAAATGAAGTAGATGGATAGCGACAGAGCATGTGGTTTGTCACCATAAGTGGGGTGTGTTTGATCGATGAAGGGTGATAGTGTTCCGAGTGGAATGAGGAGAAGAGTGGCGCAATAAATATAAATGTATGGAGGAGCAGAGCGGCACAGAGATCAGCCAGAGACATCGATGGGAGTTTTCTGCTGCCCATCTTCATGCCCCATCACCTCTCCATTCTTGCTTTATGGTCCTTGCCAGGAAGTTTTGTTTTAAGAGGCTGGTTGGTAGGTAGTGAGCTGGAGGTGAGATCTTTCTCTGCCTTTCATCAGATGTCTCTTATGAGATAGCACCAAAGCCCTTTAGCCCCCCCCCTTCCTTCCCATGTTTTTTTGCTCTTTCTCTCCCACTCATTTTCTATTCCACTCTCACTTGCTTTCCTGCCTGCGCTCTCTCTCTCTACCTCTCTGCACAGGGGAGGTGAGTAATCTTTTTTTTTTCCGGGAGAGGAGAGAGGGCGCTGTAGCCCAGCTAGAGTTAAAAGCTCTAATAATAGTTAGTGCATCCATCTCTCTGTCTATCCATCCATCCATCCATCCATTCAGCGAGCGGTCTGTCCGTGAGTCTGTCCAGCGAGAAGCGATGTAGCTTCTGTGATCCAGTGAGCGTGCTCACTTTGTTGCCGAGGTGATGGCAGAGGTGCAGGCAGCTGGCTAATGCTCTACTTCTGTTTGTGTTCCCTCACCAGAAAAAGGCAGAAGAAGCTCACAGGATACTGGAAGGATTGGGACCCAGGGTAGAACTGGTGAGTGGAGACTTTATCTTTGTGTTCTATTCTGTATCTTTTTCTCACTCTCACATCTTTGCTTTATTGACATGCGTAAATAAAAAAATAAAGATTTTGTTAAGGGTCAGGTTTGAGGAATGAAGGATGTAGGGAGAGACAAGGAAGGGGTCTGAATCATCTGATGTGCTCTGTAAAAGAATGAAGTTAAAATATTTGATCTATGTACTCATGATCTCAGTTAAGCAATATTTAACATATGTCACACATTAAATGTTGTAGATATCAGAATATAATGTTTTCCAACCCACTAAAAATAGAAACAACATCGTTTTACTTCACTACATTTTTAGAACATTTGCTCAGCCTTAAATTAAAAGCATGCCTTTAGCTGCAATTATATATTTTAAATATTTGTTTTGTCATAAATGTACTCATGCATACTGTATCTGTCTGTGATATGCTCAGACACACATATACACTCAGTGAGTAAATTTGATGAGTTCTGTACTTTTCAACAAATTACTTTTACATGCTACAAGATGCTACACTTAGCAGATTCTGTTCTGTTCTGCAGTGATTCATTTTGAGCTAGATCAAGTTATTTGACTTCACTCTTGTTATTTGATGACCATTTCTACAAACATTTAACTCCTTCAGGTCGAGTTTATCATGGTCAAAGGGACATTGGGGGGACATCTAAGTAAAATCTGTCATATGACCTTCATGTATATTTGTGTTTGTAATCATTAACACAACTGATTCTGTGATCTTTTTGTTTCTTGTCCTGTTCCAGCCTCTGTACAATCAACCTTCTGACACCAAGCAGTACCATGAGAACATCAAAATGTGAGCCTGTCACCAAATGCTTCTACAAAATGTTTTATATACACTCCTATATACCTCTAAGACATTACAACATCTAAGACACTAATATACTTTGATTGCTGTGGTCAGAAGAATTTAAAAACCTATTAAAGTGTGGGAGGTTGGTTTATAAATTTAATAAAGTTGAGCCTATCTTTAGAAAACTGGTCCTATGTATATAATATAAAAGTATCAAAATGCTTAATCCAAAAAGAAATGCACATAGCCTTTTCTCAGAAACTTTGCCTCAAGCAAACCATCAGGTAATTGTCAAAATTGACATGATGCTCAAGTCACTTCTGCAGTGACTGAGCATTTCCTTTTGCATAGTTATAACAAACTACAGTAGTAGGCGTAAGTCTGTTACCTATGATTGTGCGACCATGCGCCACTCAGAAAATAGTCAATCAGAAGAGATACACTTGCTACAGCTCCAGAGAAAAGAGTGAGAAAACCATATTGACATGATCTTTGTATATATTTTAATTTTTTCTCTATAAACTTACTTCTACCATTACAAAGTAGAGACGGAGGCGATTAAAATTACCATTCAGTTATCTGCATTGAGGGCATGTTTATCAATACGGCTCATCATAATCTTTTAAGTACCATTAATCACTAAGGCACATCAAAGAGCTGTACAAGGGTTATAATGGTGCATCTCAACCAATGGCACAGTGGTTTGGGCACAGTGGCATACCACAAGATGTGTCTGACCTCGTAGCCACACACGGCTCTGTCTTCACTCCTTTTGATCCCTTCACTGTTTGATCAGTATGATTGCCTCAAAGCAATTAACTGAAAACTCTCCCCTCTTTGTGTGTGTGTGTGTGTGTGTGTGTGTGTGTGT